GGCGGCCCAAGGGTAAAATTAAGGCCAGTAAAAGCTTAAGACAAGGTGGTCCCTCTCTCCCTTCCTTTTCATCATTGTGGTTGATTGTTTCAGTAGATTTTTGTCCATAGTAGTAGAGCATAATGAGCTTGAAGGTTTCGCGATTGGCAGCAATCCCATCCAGGTGACACACCTATAATTCGCTGATGAAACCCTCTTATTCTCAACTTTGGAGGACAGCAAACTTATGAACCTATTCAATTTCATCAAGATTTTCGAGGAGGCCTCTGGTTTGAACTCCAATCTACAAAAAAACAGAGATGTTGGGCATTAGCATGGATGACAACACTTTAGACTCTCTCGCCAACAGATTTGCTTGCAGAAAGGGCTCATGGCCGAACACCTATCTCGGCCTCCCTCTAAATGGCAACCCGCAATCCTCCTCTTTTTGGGAACCAGTTATGGAAAAAAAAGGCTTTCCTTTTGGGATCAGGCTCACATATCCAAAGGATGTAAACTCACCCTTATCCATGCCACTCTATCCAACCTCTCCATCTACTTTCTATCTCTCTTCTCTATCCCAACCAAGTTGCCAATGAGCTTGACAGAATTGTTCAGAATTTCTTATGGAAGGGAGGCATCAGAACACAGGGGGCTAAATCTTGTTAGATGGGATATTGTGCAGAAACCTATTGAATTTTGAGGTCTAGGTTTCACTAGCTTCAAAGCAAAAAATGAAGCCTTTTTAACCAAATGGACATGGAGATTCATTACTAAGGATTCGACCCTATGGAGGCACGTGATACAAGCAAAATACGCAATCCTAAACTTCCGCAACACCCCACACAATCGCTCCTTATCTGCTGCTAGGGGTCCTTGGAGAGATATAGCCAAGCACTGGTCCCTGAGCCTTCCGGTTGGGGTACGAATCCATCCCTCTATTTTGGAAAGATAATTGGCTCAACAATGAGCCTTTATGCCGCACCTACCCCCTTCTTTTTGCTCTCCACAACAGAAAGCTTGACTATGTTCGAGAATTCTGGTCTTCGGAAATCAACTCATGGGATATTTGCTTTCGGAGAAACTTAAAGGATGCATAGGTAGTTGAATTGACAGCCTTATTACACTACCTCTCCTCTCAAAGACCAACATTGAACAGGGATACCACTGTGGAGGAGATTGGAACCCCATGGTTCTTTTACTACAAGCTCTCTCATAAAAGCCCTTCTAAGCAAGAATCAACCTTCTTCCCCGACAGACTTGTTCATAGCCATTTGGAAAGATGTTTATCTAAAGAAGGTCAATTTTTCCTAGGGTAATCCAGCCTACATGCTTTAAACACGCACGACAAATTACAGCGAAGAATGTCTTATATGGCCTTATCTCCTCGTTAGTGTCCTCTTTGAAAGCTAGCAACGGTAAAAAAAGCATGTTTTTTTGGAGACAGATACTATTTCACCAATCGTACAGTGAATTCATTGGGCATGCCTTCCTCACTTGTCCCTATGCCACAACTCTTTGGAACAAAATCTTGCCCCTCTTTGGTTGGTCGGTAGCCCTCCCTACATATATGTCACAACTAATAGCTAATACTCTCCTTAGCCATCCATTCAAGAATGAGAAAGCCAGCCTATGGATCCACTTCAATTGGGATTTGCTTTGGTCTATTTAGAATGAAAGGTATCACCATATCTTCCAAGCAAAGGAACGCTCTCCACACGCCACATTTGAATCTATCATTCTTTTTGTTATTACTTGGTGTAAATGCTCCCCTTTCATTCCTATAGTTTTGCCTCATTGATAGCCAACTGGAGAGCTTTTTTGTGACCCATTATGGGTTCTCTTCCGCTTTTGTATTATCCCCTCCTTTTTTCATTATATTGATGGAATCGTTTTGTTAAAAAAAAATAAACATGAAAAGAAAAAAAATGTCAATATAAAAATTTCCATGACAGTGAAAACTGTCAATATTGACCGTTAAAATTATTACTATAAAAGTTTTTGTGACAGTTATAAATAATCATTATTACATTTTTATTGGCATGTATAAACTGTTGTTAAAAAATATTTCGTGACAATTTATAAACTGTCTTTAAAAAGCATTTAGTGACAATTATAAATTGTCATCATTAAGTTTTTTTTTTGACAAAAATTTTTTTTGATTGTTTCAATGACAGTTATAAAATGTCATCAAATAAGTTTTTGTGATATTTTTTATTCGTGATAAGTTTTTTATAATTTAGTTGTAAATGTATCAATGACAATTTTCAAAAACTATCCTGTTCTCCTTTTTCTCGATGCCTTAATCCATCACAGTTATATAACTATTATGAATTAAGTTAATTATAATTTTAAATTGCCATCAAAGCTCATATTTCTACCAGTGAGAGGATCTATGAAGTAGTTCAAAAACTAAAACAATTAAGCAAGAATCTCACTGCATCACATAAAAGTATTTAAAACCATGAAATCAAATAATAAAAAGTGTATAACGTTTAATTATTTGATAGCTTTTATAGTTTGTAGGTTAATTTGTACAAATATACCATATTTCAAGGTGTTTTAAAAAGTTTAATCTAATATTATTGTGTACATTGTAAATTATAAAATTTTCCATAAACTTCATTATTATTTTTATTTAGTCCTTAAATTTTAAAAAGTTGTATTTGCATCCTTGAACTTTCGATTTAAATTCTAAAATGTCTTTGTCGTAGCATCGGGATATCGTCTAATCTATGACGAAGACTACCTAAACTTCAAGGGTTCATAGTGTTATAAATGAGTGTCATGGGCCTTGTGTTGTAGAGTACTCACGACCCTCCATTGGTACCATGACAATGTGCTTCCTTTGATAGTAGGGGCGCCATACCACTTCACGTTAGTTTCAAGTCACTTTCAAATCGAGTTTTGTTTTTTTTAAGGAGTTGAAACCAAAATTCCATATTGGCTAAACAAGGGAGAGATCTATAGTATACAAGTAAGGACAAATTATCTCCATTGGTATTATGAGACTCTTGGGTGGAATTAAAAACAAAGTTAAGAGGGCTTATGTCTAAAGGACACGATATCATATCATTGTAAGATATGTGGGGATTTACTACAAAAAATTGGAACTTTTTTTTAAAATAAAAATTGGTGAAGCTTGGGAGATTAGAAGTGTGAAGCAGATATGTCATTCTTTATGAGTCCAGTGAAGATTGACGTGGAGAAATTTGACGGAATGATCAACTTTGGCTTGTGGCAAGTGCAAGTCAAGGATGTGTTGATACAATCTGAGTTACACAAGGCGTTGAAGGGAAGGTCGAGTGAAGGTGCTTCTGAAAAGCTAAGCGGTGATAGTGGTCCAATGGAGTCTAGTAGTGGTTTCAGCAGAGGTTCTAAGAAATCTAGCATGAGTGATGAAGATTGGGAGGAAATGGATTTGAGAGCTACAAGCGCGATATGAACAAGTTTGGCTAAGAATATTCTTGCGAATGTGCATGAGAATTTCGACAGCCAAAGAACTTTGGGAGAAGCTCGAAGCGTTGTATCAGGCAAAGGGTACCTCAAATCGGCTATACCTGAAGGAACAGTTTCATACGCTGCGAATGGAGGAAGGTACGAAAATTTCAGATCATTTGAGTAATCTTAATAGCATCATCTTTGAGCTGGAGGCGATCGAAGTGAAGATAGATGATGAAGATAAAGCACTCAGGCTCATCTTATCACTTCCACCTTCTTATGAACACATGAAGCCGATCTTTATGGGAATGATACTTTGAATTTTGTTGAGGTTACTAATAAACTCTTGTCAGAGGAAAGAAGACTGAAGAGTGAAGGGCATACTTCACATGAAGATTCGGCACTGGTAGCTAACAATTGGAAGAAGAAGAAAGACTCCGTACAAAAGAAAGCTTGTTGCTGGGGATGCGGACAGTCTGGAAACATGAAGAAAGATTGTCCCAACAGAGTCGGTTCGTTAAAGGGCTTTGGGCGGGATGCTGACAATGTTTCTCTCAACAGGGGAGACGATGATCAGTTCCTTTGAAGAGAGAGAGAATTCACCCTCATGGTGTGTCCGCTTTACCATGATAGAGGATGTGGTGTTAACGGTTCCACAAATTTACACATGGGCATTGGCTTGGCGGTTATGCAAGGTGTGTATGGTAGAAGTTATGTCGATGGCTGAAGAACTTCCAAGTGAACCAAGTAGGTGGAAGTTGCACCATAAATCTCAGCAGGATTTATCGACATGTGACGAGGAAGAAAAATCTTGGAAGGCGACATTCCAAGTGATCTACTTTTATGGTGGAGTAGGCTATAGTTCTCTGAATTGAGAATTATGATTGTTGGTGAAGACAATGAGTACAGTACAAGCTGTGAACTTTTTTCAATATCTTGTCAAGGTGGAATTTATTGGGTTTTGGCGAAATATTGGAATTGAAGTTGTCCCACATTGGAAGAATACGAGGATGGTCTCCATGTGCTAGAAGTTGTCCCACATCGGAAAAGTACAAGGAGGAGATGTGTTCCAACTACTATAAAAGGAGCTCATGGGCTTGGGTTTTTATCATCCCAATTGAAATAAGCGTGATATACTAGTTCTAGTTAACTTGGGCCGTAATTTTTTCTCCTGTTTGGAGTTTTTCCATTCCTGCGGTAGAAGTATGAGATTTTTTCCCAACAGGCCCGACATTTTCCTCGTTGCACTATTTGCTTGAGAGAAAATCGAGAGAGAGAAGGAAAGAGAAAAGAAAATTGGAAAAGAATGGTAGAAAGAAGGAGAAAGTAGAAAGAGAAAAAGACAGGATTTGAGGACTAAGAGTGAATTGGAAGAAGGGTGAATACGTCATTTTACCAAAAATGTCATAACTGATAAGTATGAGATTAGAAAACTTGTATTTTTTTAAAAAAGTGTAAAAATCATTTCTGTTCACGGCTAGTCAGCTCAAAAAGCCGGTAGGGTCGTAGGGATACCCCACTCTATTTGTTGTAAAAAAAAAAAACCCACTAAAATAGAATTAGACCTAGGTCGAAATTTTAGTCCAAACTCCAAACAATCACCTTGTTTCTCATGATTCTTCGTTTTTTTTTAGATACATGCTGAGCTTCAACTGGGTGTTTCGAGGCGCATGATCAGGTTCTTTGGTCACCGCCGGAGGCTACCATGTTCGTATTTCAAAGCGCCTTACAATTTTGGAGGTCGGAGAAGCATTCTTCGATGTCAGTTCTCTGCACAAGCTGCCCTAGCTCAGCAATGGACGACTATCACCGAGCGACCGAGGCCAGAGTTCGATTCTCATGCCTATGCTGCTGTGCTCCAAGACTGTATCCAAAGCGGTGATCTGAATTTAGGAAAACTTATTCATTGTAGGATTATGAAACTTGGTAATTGTTTGGACTTGTTTGCTTTCAATGTCCTTCTCAATGCGTATGTGAAATTTGGGTTGTTGCTTGATGCCGAGAACTTGTTTGATGAAATGCCCGAGAGAAATACGGTTTCCTTTGTGACGCTAATTCAAGGGTATGTACAGTCATATAAATTCTTTGAGGCCTTTGAGTTATTTGCCAGACTACATGGTGAAGGCCACGAGCTTAATCCGTTTGTTTTCACTACTATTTTGAAGTTGCTTGTTAGTATGGAATGGGCAGAATTGGGACATGTTGTCCATGGTTGTGTATATAAGATTGGCTTTGGTTCTGATACTTTCATTGGGACTGCTCTTATTGATGCTTACTCTGTATGTGGATGTGTTAATATGGCTAGAGAAGTATTTAATGGGATTAGGTGTAAGGATATGGTATCTTGGACTGGTATGATTGCTTCTTATGCTGAGAATGATTGTTTCTCTGAAGCATTGGAACTTTTCTCACAGATGAGAGTGGTTGGATTCAAACCAAACAATTTTACTTTTGCTGGTGTGCTTAAGGCATGTCTTGGCCTGCAAGACTTTAGTGCAGGGAGGACAGTTCATTGTTCTGCTTTGAAAACAAGTTATGAGCAAGATCTTTACGTAGGAGTTGCCTTACTTGAATTGTACACTAGGTGTGGTGGCAATGATGATGCATGGCGAGCATTCGGGGATATGCCTAAAAAAGATGTGATTCCATGGAGTTTCATGATTGCAAGATTTGCGCAGAGTGGTCAATCTGAAAAAGCTGTCGAACTTTTTTGCCAAATGAGGAGAACTTTTGTTATGCCCAATGAATTTACATTTTCTAGCGTGCTCCAAGCTTCTGCAGCTTTGGAGGCTTTAGATTTGGGTAGAACGATCCATGGACATGCACTTAAGGCTGGACTATCTGCTGATGTGTTTGTGTCGAATGCCCTTATGGCTTGCTATGCTAAATGTGGGTGCATTGAGAAATCAATGGAACTATTTGAGGCGTTATCATACAAAAATGATGTCTCTTGGAACACAATTATTGTTGGCTATGTGCAGTTGGGTGTTGCGGAGAAGGCACTGAGTCTGTTTTCAAATATGCTTGGATACGAAGTCCCAGCAACTGAAGTGACTTACTCTAGCATTCTTCGTGCTTGTGCTACTCTTGCTGCCATAGAACTCGGACTTCAAATTCATTCCTTGACAGCCAAAACCATCTATGGCCAGGATATCGCAGTTGGTAATGCTTTGATAGATATGTATGCCAAGTGTGGTAGTATTAATGATGCTCGTTTGATGTTTGACACATTGAGTCTACGAGACAAAGTTTCATGGAATGCTATTATCTGTGGATATTCTATGCATGGTCTAGGAGTGGAGGCAATAAAAATGTTTGATCTTATGAAAAAAAGAGAGTGTAAACCAGACAAGTTGACTTTCGTTGGTGTCTTGTCAGCATGTAGCAACACAGGCCGGTTGGATGAAGGAAAACAATATTTTAATTCTATGAAACAGGATTATGGCATTGAACCATGTATGGAGCACTATACCTGTATGGTGTGGCTTATTGGGAGATCGGGTAATCTTGATCAGGCCATAAAGTTTATTGAAGATATCCCTTTTGAGCCTAGTGTAATGATTTGGCGTGCTCTACTCGGGGCTTGTGTTATCCATAATGATATTGAACTAGGAAAAATTTCTGCCCAGCGTGTGCTTGAGATGGAACCTCAGGATGAAGCAAGCCATGTATTATTGTCCAACATCTATGCAAGGGCGAGAAGGTGGGATAATGTGGCTTATGTTAGAAAGAATATGAAGAGAAAAGGGGTGAAGAAGGAACCCGGCTTAAGTTGGATTGAGAATCAGGGTATCGTTCATTGTTTCACTGTGGCTGATACTTCACACCCCGACCTGAAGCTAATCAACGGGATGCTCGAATTTTTAAACATGAAAACCAGAAGGGCAGGATATTCTCCCGATCTTAATGCTGTACTACTTGATGTGGAAGATGATGAGAAGGAGCGTCTCCTTTGGTTGCACAGTGAAAGATTAGCCTTGGCTTTTGGTCTGATTAGGATGCCAGCTGGATGCCCGATTCGCATAATTAAAAATCTCCGTATATGTGTTGATTGTCATTCTGCAATTAAGTTAATATCCAAGATTGTTGGACGTGATATTATTATTAGAGACATGAATCGTTTCCATCACTTTGGCGATGGGTTATGCTCTTGTGCTGACTACTGGTGACCATAATTTACTTCATACATGTGGTGGATTAACATTTCATCAACTAGTGCGCAACTTGAAAAATTCAAGGTAACTCTTTATCCACAACCTCCTATGACATGGACTTTATGTGTTCAAATTATCAAGTAAAGAAAAAAAAAAAAAAGATGTCATAGCTGTGACACTGCTGTTAAAATTTGCCAATTTGCAGGTTGTAGATATGCTGGGGGTAAAAATATTAGTCATTGAGAAGAAAGATGGCATAAGTTGTAGGTATGGTTATTCCTGTCTTTGTTTTATCTGACATAACTTTTCTTTACATGGAAAATAGATGAGATGATTAGGCGATGAACTCATGTCACATGTGAGTCTAGTTACTTATCCAATTTTGTAGGGGTGTAGGATTTATTTATTTATATTTATTTTTTCGGGAGTAAGAAACTAGAAACTTTATAGAAGCCAAGAAGCAAAAGCAAAAACGGTGGGCCATCTCTTTCTTTATTTCTCTTTTGCTACTCGGGCTTGGTACTACATAGCTTCTCTTCTAGATCTCGCTCTTTGTTTTCCCAAGAAAGTGGATGATTTCATTGCCGAAGGTTTCGGTGGGTCCGTTCTCAAAGGGAAAGCCTACATCCTGTGGAATTGTGTTGCTAGGGCTCTTCTTTGGCTCCTTTGGAAGGAAAAAAACAATAGATTTTTTTGAGAACAAAGAGACCTCATTTGAGTCTTTTTGTGTGAATATTAAGCAGGTGGGCGTCTACCCACAAGAAGTTTTTTTTGTAACTACAGTTTCTTTTGGATCCTCCAGTGTTGGAATTCAGTGATTGTATAGTTCTCTAGGGGAGGGTTCCCTCTACCCTCTGCCTCTGAGT